AAGACCTCCCAAGCATCCCAGTGCTCTTGTTATCCTTTCCCAGAAAAGAAAGAAAAGCTTTAAAAGGTTCCTTGGTAGAAACTTTGGTTTGTTTTAGTGTCAAAATAAAGGAGTTGAGATGGAGGCTGTTACATCTCACCTCCCCTTATCCCCCAAGAACTTGGGTTGTAATTACAAAAGGGGATAAAAAATGGCTTTGAGAGAATTCCCCGGTGGTCCAGTGGTTAAGACTCTGCACTTTCACTGACAAGGGTTTTGGTTCGATCCCTCATTGGGGAACTAAGATCCCACAAGGCGAGCGGCGTGGCCACAAAAAAAGAAGAAAAAGAAAAAGGCTTTGAATGGCCATTTTGGTTTCTCAAGTACATAATACCTATATTAAAATAGTTCCTGGGGACTTCCCCAGTGGCGCAGCGGTTAAGAATCTGCCTGCCAATGCAGGGGACACAGGTTCGAGCCCTGGTCCAGGAAGATCCCACATGCCAAGGAGCAACTAAGCCCCTGCCCCACAACTACTGACCCTGTGCTCTAGAGCCCATGAGCCACAGCTAGTGAAGCCCATGCTCCTCAACAAGAAGCCACTGCAATGAGAAGCCTGTGCACTGCAACGAAGAGTAGCCTCCCCTCGCTGCAACTAGAGAAAGCCCATGCACAGCAACGAAGACCCAATGCAGCCAAAAATAAATAAATCAAAGGAAATTAAAAAAAAAATTCCTGCCTGGTCTAATTGCTTACTATGAGACTAGAGCACCTACAGCCACTTCAACAGCACACATGAGGATCTTGAGCAAAGTTAGAAGTAGCATCGAAAGCCAGTGGAAAGTGGGCTCTTCCAGCACCCATCCTCAGTATGTCAGATTCTCTCTTCCTCTTTCTTTTGGTGCTTCAGCCATAATAGCTTCCTTTCATTTCCTTTTACCTCAGTTAATTTGCCCATGCTGTTCCTTCTGGCTGAATATTTGCTACTCCTCTTTACCTCATTAACTCTACCCATCATGCATATTTCCTCCAGGAAGTCTCCACTTCCACAGGGAAGCCCCACCCTACCACAGGTCAGATCTCCTTGTCAGTGGCCTTAGAGCCCCAGAATAGTACCTTCATAATTGTGATCACTGTAGTTATATATTTATTTGTATAATAGTATGTGTTTGTATGAGATTCACAACAGCAGGAACTTTATTTTACTCACAAGATTGTATCCCCATCAAGAGCACAAGGTCCAGCACATAGTAGGTACCTAGTAAATATTAAATGAATGAATAAGTGTCAGGGCCAGTATCATCCATTTTGTAGAAAGCCCTTGTTTTGGTAATGGTGTAAGTAAGGAATATGTTTGACAGCAGATAATTGAAAACCTAATGAAAAGTGGTTTAAAAAGTAGGTCTTGTTTCCTATAATTTATGAGAAATTTCAGACATACAAAATACTTAAATTTTACAGTGGACACCTGTATGCCAACAGCCTAGATTGTACCACTGACATTTTACTATACTGTATTTGCTTTATCACTTATCTACCCACGTAGCCATCTTTTTTTATGCATTTCAATATAAGTTGCAGGCATTAGCACATTTCCCCATAAATACTTCAGCATACATATCATTACTTAGATTTCAATATTTGCTTAAGGTTTTTGTTGAGATAAAATTTAAATTCAATAAAACGCCTAAATCTTAAGAGTACTTTTCATTTTGACAAATGCCAATACTTGTGTAACACAAACCCCTATTAAGATACAGACTATTACTATCAGCCCAGGAAGTTCCCTCATAACCCTTTTCATTTTATCCCCACCCTTATCCTCCAAGAGGCAAATGCTGCTCTGATTTTTTTCTACCATGGAATAGTTTTCTTGTTCTAGGACTGCATATAAATGGAACTACAGTATGTGCTCTTTTGTGTAAGGCTTCTTTTACTGAGCATAATGTTTTTGAGATTCATCCATTTTGTTGTATGTATCAGTAATTTGTTCCTTTTAAAAGCTGATTCATATCCCATTAAGTGAATATACTACAGTTTGTTTATCTATTTATGTTTACCTATTGATAGACATTTGTGTGTTTTTTTCCCCATTTTGGGTCCATTATGAATAAAGCTGTTATGAATATTCTTGCACAAGTCTTTTTGTGGACATATATTTTCATTTCTCCCGAATAAATACTTAAGATTGGAAATATGGGTCATAGGCTATGTGTATATTTAGTTTTCCTAGACCTTTTTCGAAAGTAATTACAGTATTTTATACCCCCTTCCACTAACATTTGATGTTATTAGTCTTTAATTTTATCTATTCTAGTGGGTGTGGAGCTGAATCTTATTTTGAGCTATTTTCTGCCTTTCACATTATAGGGCATCTAGGGAGGCAGGTCACAACTGGGGTGCTACTCAACAATGAGCAACCCAGGCATTTTCTAGTTTTCTATTCATCCTTCTTAGTGGATTGATGATAATTCCATGCATGTCACCTAGGGTAGCCAGCCTCTAAGATGGCTCCCAATGATCTCTGCCTTTTGGTGTTCTTGCCCTTGTGTAATTTCCTCTCATTGAGTGTGGGCTGGACTTAGTGACTTGCTTCTAATAGAATACAGCAGAAGTGATGTGATGCCACTTCTGAGATTAAGTTATAAAAAGAATGTGGCTTCTGTCATTCTTTCTTGGATCACTCATTCTAGGGGAAGCCAGTTGCCATGTTTCGAGGCACATCTGTGAAGAGCCCATGTGATGAGGGACTGTGGCCACCAACAATTAAATGAATGAACTTAGAAGTGGATCTCCCCCTAGCTGAGCATTCAGATGAGACTGCAGAACCACATCTGTTTTAAGCCGTTAATTTTGGGGGTAATTTGTTATGAAATGATAGATAACTAATACAACACCTCATTGTCTCACTGTCATAAGATGGCTGCTTTACCTCTAGGGCCTCATATTCATGCTCCAGACAGTAAGAAAAGTGTGAAAGGCAAAGGACAAAGAGGTTTTTTCGTCATGAATCACTTCATTTTTATCAGGAACTCAGAGCCTTTCCAAAAATCTCACTCAGCAGACTTCGGTTTACATCTTATTGGCCAGAGATAACACCACATGACCCACTCCTACTTAGAAGATGGCTAGAGAGAAGGGGGGACCTGGATGAAGTTTGCATCAGACAGTTGTCAGTGCCTGCCATGTAAAGCACTTCAAAAGCCCCACAGAGATGAAGACCTCTTCCTTAACACCCACACCAGCCAAGTGCCCTTTTGGGGAGATTTCCATAAAAAGGACCCAGTCAAATGAAATTTTTAGAAAACTCAGGGCCAGGATTGCTGGGCCTGGGTTCCCGATTCATGCCCTACACCATTCTCCTGGGAAAACTGAGGTACTATCTTCCTCTGCTACTTCTATTCCTCCATTTCTTTGCATTAGAAACTTCAGAGTCATCCTGAAAATGTCCATGACCACCACTCTCCCCCAGCAAAATAGCTCCTTAAGTTTTGCTAATATTATGGCCTTCATATTTAAAAAATTCCACCCCTCTCTTTATTGTCCATCCTCTCCCCATGCCTCAGGTCTAAAACCTGAGGTATTTTTCTGGCCCAATCATTATCAACTTCAAATATAATCCTGTTACTCCCCAACTTAAAACCCTTACTGCCCCATTGAACTCAGTATGAAGTCCAAACTCCTTCCCATGGTAGCAAAGACCCTGCCTGCATAGCTGGATATGATCCACATCTCCAGCTTTAACTGTTTGCCTTGCACTTGGTGTGCTCACAACGCTAAACTCCTGACCTCTCTGCCTTTGCTTACACTGTCTCATCTGCCTGGTGAGTTCTCACTTTTGATTGGGCAATTCCACCTGACTTACTTAGGGATTCGGTTTTGGAGATAACTCTTCTAGAAAGCCTTCTAGGACCACCAACACCCTCAACAGTGGGTCAGGTGACCTCATTAGCTGTGTACAAATCCTTTTCCCTTTTGCGGGGGTGGGGGGGTCATATTAGGTTAACCTAGTAGAAAATTCAAATAGTACAATAGGATATGGAATATGTCTCCCTCCTCTTCCTGCCCTCCAGTTCCTATTACCAGTTTCTTAATGTATATGCAAGCATAAATAAATATATTTTCATATTATTTTTGCACAGTCTTAAACAAGGTGTACTATACTTTGTTTTTCTAGTTAATACTATTTTGGAGATCATTATATCACTTTACATACAGAACTATCATTCTTTTGAAGAACTGCAATGACATTTCGTTGTATGCATAACTTAATTTGCTCAAGCAATTTGTTGATGGACACATGGGCTGTTTCTGATTTTGCTTTGAAAAGCAGTGCTGCGAAGTGCAACATTTTTGCACAAATCCATTTGAGCACATGGAGAGTATCTTTCCAAATTCTTAGGTATGGGATTGCAAGATCAAAGGCGAGGTGAATTTTAAATTTTGATATAACACTCTAGTCAACCGACTTATTCTTTCCAACAACAACCCAAATCCCCTGTATTCGAATGTTGGGCCGTCTACACTTCTAGACTACGTGTTTGAGGGCAGGCACCTCCTAGTATTCACATTTGTGTGGCAGAATTGGCCCTCAATACATATTTGACTTAACGAATTTTATACCTCGCAGAACCGAGTCCAGGGCTGGCATATAGCAGATTCATCAGATGTCTATTACAATTCGTCAATGATTAGACTCGCTAACATTTACTGAAGTTTATCAAACGGCAGGATCTGTGCCAAGCGCTTTACCTCCCACCGCTTTTTTCACTCACGTTCTCCTTCCTCCGGGGGAGGGGGCGGGCTCAGCACCACGACCCGCCCTGTCTGTGCATTCGTTGGTCGAGCCTGACGCCCGTTACTGCCGAGTCCCGGCCAAACCACGCCTCCACGCCGTTCGTCTGGCCCAGAGAGGGCGTGTCCATCGTCCCACCGGACGATCCAGTCGGTCTCCTCTCGTGAGAATCGATACGCCCTAGAGGACCGGAGCGGCGTGGGTGGGGGCGTGTTCCGCGGTCCCTCGGAGCCCGCGCACGCCGCGCCCCGCCCCCTCAGCACGCAGGCTCCGCGCGAGCTCGCGCACGCGCGCGCGCGCGCTCTTCAGAGCCTCACTCTGGCCAGCGGGGACCGACGGGCGGAGGCTGGGCTGCTGAAGTACGAGGGGCGGAGCCCGGGCCGCCGCCGCCGCCGCCGCCGCCGCCGCTGCCGTCGCCGCCGCTGCCACCAGAGAGGAGCATGTCTGCAACTCGAGCCAAGAAAGTGAAGATGGCCACCAAATCATGCCCCGAGTGCGACCAACAGGTGGGCGCCGGGGGCGGGACACCGGGCACACGGGCCGGTGGGGCGGGTGCGCGCGGGCGGGCGTCCGTTGCCGGCGGCCGCTGGCTGTGGAGAGGCCGCCTCGCCGGGGTCCCAGCGGCTGAGCGTGTGGGCCGGCCCTTGAGCACTGGCCACCATGGGAGCCCTCAACCGGCCGGATAGAGCCCAGGGGTTGCCGGGGAAGCGCCCGGGGCCGCGGCCCGGCCGGTGCCCACCTGGCGGCGATCAGACGGGCGAGTATCTTGCCCTGTGGCCAGCGGCGTGAGAGGGGGCGTGGATTTATCGTGAGCTGACGGGGCGCCCTGTTCGGACCCTCCCAGAATCGCCTGTCCGGCTCCGGTGACAGCGGCAGGAGTGTGGGGCAGCAGCCCAAGTGGACGAGTTCGGTCCCTCAGCCCCCTCCTGCCCTGAAGAGAATCCTCGATGTGTCGACTCTGAGTCTGGGCTCCTGGCTCCGAAATCCGCCTTCTGCCAGGCAGGGTTGCTTTGTTCCCGTTTCAGATGTGTACGGTGGACTCCCAAAACTGTCCCCCCGCGACCTGGGCGGATGCTTGAATGTGACAGGCCCGCAGTGTAATAGTTTTAAGTTTTGGCGAAATATGGAGATTTTTTCTCTTAAATATATTTATTATATTTTTGACGTAAATAATCGTGAATCCTTTCTGTACATTGTTTTAAATGGAACGTTATTGAATGACGCCCCCATTGAAGCCCTTCCTGAGCGCTCCTCACTTGCCCCTACCCGCCGCGGTATCCACTGTTAAAAATTTGGCATTTTCTGCTTCCAGATCTTCTAAAATATATATATGTGGTTTTATGAATTTTAAATGACTGCTTTCTACACAGAATTAATGGTGTCATAGCTGTAAGTTAAAAAAATCTCATCTTACCGTTTTAGTTTAAGGATGCCTCATTTTTTACTAGAATAATAGAAGTTCCTCTAAACCTTATAATCGAATGAGTTAAGACTCTCAGTTAAAAGCATTAGTAAGGGCCCTATTTCACGCCAACATGCAGATCTGGGTGTGTTTTTTTCTTTTCCACTGAGAGGATTTTTTCAAAATGATTACCTCTTCTCCCTTTTTCTTTCTTTCCTTTTTTTTAGATCAGGAGTAATTTGAAATGGATGAAGACTTTTTTTTTTTTTTTTTTTTTTTTGCGGTACGCGGGCCTCTCACAGTTGTGGCCTCTCCCGTTGCGGAGCACAGGCTCCGGACGCGCAGGCTCAGTGGCCATGGCTCACAGGCCCAGCCGCTCCGCGGCATGTGGGATCTTCCCGGACCGGGGCACGAACCCGCGTCCCCTGCATCGGCAGGCGGACTCAACCACTGCGCCACCAGGGAAGCCCTGAAGACTTTTTTAATAAGCTTATTTTAGTGCATACTTTAAGGAGTAAGCTTAAAGGTTGATCAAATCTTTTAACAGAAAATGTTACATGTTTTATTCAGTATCTTTTATGGGCAATGATAGATATGCTGATCAGAGGAAGACTGTGCAAGGAGAATTACGGTTTATTGATTGTTTGAGTTTATTGAGTATGCATTCTAAAAACAATTTAGCCATGTTTTCCAAAACAGAGTTAAATTTCCTTTCTTTTCTTTTAAAATTTTTGTTTGCGTTGGGTCTTTGTTACTGCGCGTGGGGCTTTCCCTAGTTGCGGCCAGCGGGGGCTACTCTTCGTTGCGGTCCACGGGCTTTTTATTGCGGTGGCTTCTCTTGTTGTGGAGCACGGGCTCTACGTGCGAGGGCTTCAGTAGTTGTGGCTCGCGAGCTGTAGAGCGCACACACAGTAGTTGTGGTGCGCGGGCTTAGTTGCTTCGCGGCATGTGGGATCTTCCCGGACCAGGGCTCGAACCTGTGTCCCCTGAATAGGCAGGCAGATTCTTAACCACTGCGCCACCAGAGAAATCCTAAATTTCCATTCTTACCATTAAACTAAATTTGTTAAATTCTGAAAAAGTTGGACTTTTCTATTTAAGTCTCCTTGTTGAAGATTATTTCAATATTTAAATCATTTCCATTTGTTCCGTTTAATTGTGCAGAAGTATAAGGTTTACATGGTATGCATTATGCATTCCAGTTTCTGTAGGGCATCAGTTATTGCAAATCCTGACCTTGTTGTATTTGGCATACAGTAACCTTTTGGGGAAAATAACCTGTTTTTAATATCCTCGTTAAAAAAGGAGGAAAGGATAGTAAACTTGTAGGAGTCCCTGTAACTATTCAACAAAACGTGATCAGCATTTTATTTGGAAATATCACATTCTGTTTTGTTGTTACACACACAACCTCCACTCCAGCTGCCATAACAAAATACCATAGATTGGGTGGCTCAAACAACAGTAATTTATTTTGTCACAGTTCTGGAGGCTGGAAGTCCCAAGATCCTGGCAGAAAAGAGAGCTTTCTGGTGTCTCTTGCAGGGACACTAATGCCATCCTGAGGGCTCCACCCTCATGACCTCATCTAAACCTAATTATCTCATCTCCATATAATACTATCACGTTGGGGGGTTGGGGCTTCAACATACGAATCTGTTGCTGGGGTGTTTTTGCGAGGTGGAGACACAATTCATTCCATAACAGGCTACAACAACATAATTTAAAATGTTGGTTTGTAGTGTTCTTTATTCTAAATACTTAAGAGAAGATAACATACATGGTGACTAATTCAAACTTTTGGTGATTCTTAAAAGCGATTTATCTTTTACTAAAAGTAACTCAATTGAAGAAAATAATAGATTAATTTTAGTTTTCTAGTTATTTGAAAGTACAGTTTCTTATAAATGAGAAAAAAATTATAATCCAGAAAGCCATTTTTAAAAAAAGCTTTAGAATACTGCTGTTATTCTAAGTTGCCTGATGAATATTAAATTAGAATTTAGATATAGTTTATAAACATAAATATAAAATCTTTAAAGTTTGAGGAGATTGCCTCGAGTAGATTTACATAAATTCTGTCTATGTGTGTGTAAGTTTAAAAACAGGTACAGAGATCAGCAAACAAGAAAGACCTAGATTTTCAGTTGCTTTATTACGTCCCCTTTTACATTCCCCCATTTGAAAATATAGTTCTGAAACATCTAAACCACAATACTTTTCATTTTCAACGGGTTTCACATCCACTAACTCAAGTTACTGAGCCATTTTGAGTGTAGTAGTAGTCAGGATTCTTATTATTTTTCTGGGATCTCTGGTGTATGTTTCTGTTTTTGCTTTTTTTTTTTTTCTTTATTACATCAGCTTTTTCCCCCTTTTAGGAAAAAATGTTAGGAAATTTTATGTGACATTTAGCAAATATGTCTACTGTACGTAACTTAGATGCTCTTAGCAACAAAGAGTATAGATGGATTCTCTGTATTGTGGTTATTTTTGAGCTTTTTAAAGTCAGTGAAACAATATAGGGTCAGGATTTTGTTTTTTGCAGTTGTTTTTTAAGCCTGTCTTACTTGTAAAACATGCCTACAATCTAAATACCTATTTTTCAAGGAATAAATTGATTCACAAGCCATCAGTAAACAACACTTCAAAGTTTTTTCCTTGCATTTTAAAATCCTGAAAGTATAGCATTAGAACTTTCATTACTGTTGTCTTTGGCATTACAACTGAAATTTCATGGAAGTTTAGGTGTTTGTTTAAAATCCAAATTATACAATAATTTAAAGAGATTAATATAACTGAAGTTGTCTACCTCATTTAATAATTCTTTTTACAGGATCTGTATTGTGGTGGTGGTTAGTTGGGTTTTCTTCAGGGTTGGTGTGAGGGGAAGGAACTTTACATTTTCAAAAGGACCTTAGGGTGACTTAGCTCAGGCGCATGAATGTTCCTTGAGCATAAGACACTTTGATTAAGGGACGTAAATCAGCCTGTCAATTGAATTAGTCATCCCAAAGCCGAATGTACATTTCTCATCTAACTGTAGCACACTGTTAATTCTGGACATGGGTTGATATAATTTTTTTGTGTATAAGACAATTAAATTTCAATTTGTTGAGTTTCAATAGCTGAAAGAAAATGGTTGTTGAGTAGCAAAGGGTATGTTGAATAAGAACATCACATTCTGTGTTTTTTTTGGGTAGCATTAACTTAAAACAATTTATATTGCTGTGGATGTCGTTAATGATGTGTTTAAGTATAAAGGAAATGAGTCAGTACCTTTGAGCTTGGTTTCTCTGAAGATGTGAAATTTTTAAAATGACAAAACATACCTATTTTAGGCAGATTTTACACTATTAAGAAATGTAACATTACATTTTCTGTCATGGTTTGGAAGAATCTCGTTACATTCTTTTTTTTTTTTTTTTTTTTTTTGCGGTGCGCGGGCCTCTCGCTGTTGTGGCCTCTGCTGTTAAGGAGCACAGGCTCCGGGCGCGCAGGCTCAGCGGCCATGGCTCACGGGTCTAGCCGCTCTGCGGCATGTGGGGTCTTCCCGGACCGGGGCACGAACCCGTGTGCCCTGTATCGGCAGGCGGACTCTCAACCACTGCGCCACCAGGGAAGCCCTCGTTACAGTCTTGATAAAGCAAGCTGTTAGACATACCTGGAGTTTGATTATTTTTATAGATTCATTGTTATTTTTCATAAATACAAACTAGAATTCTTTGTTCAGTATTTTTATGCAAAGAAAAGGAATTCTGCCAGAATTCTGATTTAGCTTATTTAGATCACATTTATATTCTAGAACATGAGGCATTCTCTACATAAATGGATGAAAGCTTTATAGTAGTGATTAAACTTTTACATAAGCAGAACAGTGGGCAAATGGAACTTATCTCACAAAGGGAATTGTAATTGGTATTCTGTGAGTACTTTTTGTTGAGATTAATTTCTGGTTTTCAGTGAATGTGCCCTGAGTCCAAGGATCATTAAGGTTAATATTAGTGAAACAATTGTGGAGGGAAAGCTAAAGCTTTTTTCAATGATTTTCAATAATATTTGGCTTTATAAATTTATTTATTTATTATTTTTGGCTGTGTTGGGTCTTCGTTGCTGCATGCGGGCTTTCTCTAGTTGCGGTGAGCAGGGGCTACTCTTCATGGCCATGTGCGAGCTTCTCATTGTGGTGGCTTCTCTTGTTGCAGAGCACTGGCTTTAGGCGCTCGGGCTTCAGTAGTTGTGGCACACGGGTTCAGTAGTTGTGGCTTGCAGGCTCTAGAGCACAAGCTCAGTAGTTGTGGCGCATGGGCTTAGTTGCTCCACGGCATGTGGGATCTTCCCAGACCAGGGCTCAAACCCATGTCCCCTGCATTGGCAGGCGGATTCTTAACCACTGTGCCACCAGGGAAGTCCCTAACATTTGGCTTTAGAAAAATATTGACAGACTTGAAATGGAGAAAGGAGACACTTGTAAAAATAGTTTACAGATTTAGAAACAGAAGCCTGAAGAGCTTGTGTTTTATCCGACGTCCTTCCTGGAGCTGAGACTGTAAGATACTAGATCTCAACTCCTGCTTTGTCCCACATTCTCTTTTGTTTGTACAACACTTTTGCCCCTCAAACGGGTTGTTGTAAACTTTTTTTTTTTCTATTGGTAGTAATAGGCATCTTACCTGCTCATGTTGGAACCTGGGTTGTTTTCAGTTCTTTACCCTTTTGAAATGTCTTGTAGATCTACCTTCTCTCCATTTACATTCTCACTATTCCAGTGGGACCCATAATATTATGCTGGGATTACTTTAATGATTTCCCAATCATGCCCCCTTTTCCAATTTATTCTATATAAACTGCTTTCAAACTAATATTTTAGGAAATGCTACCTTTTTCCCCGTATATTTTCCTTGGCTCTGACCCTATTGTGGTTTTCTGTTGTTCACTCACATCAGCACATGTTTACCGTGCATTTGCTACATTCATGGTTATTGTAGTGTGTTACTAGAATGTGAAGATTTAGAGGACACAATACCCATCTCATAATTTGTTGTCAGGAGGTGGGGTTTAAATAAATCCACGATTCCTACTTCAAGTAATTTATCATTCAGTTTAGGAGAGTACAGAAACACTGAGAAGTTAAAGAACAGAAAAATAGTAATAATAAATTGTTTCTTTTTTTTGTCTACAGGTTCCTGTTGCATGTAAATCATGTCCCTGTGGTTACATATTTATTAGCAGAAAACTTTTAAATGCAAAACACCCAGAAAAATCACCATCTTCTACAGGTAATTGTGAGAGTTTACCACATTTTTAGCTTTTTGATGTAGAAATTTAAAATTAATTTTTGTGAATTTACTATTCAATTTTTGTTGAAGTTAAAAATTAAAGTCTATTGAAGTATGTGTTTGGTTTTTATTAGCTATTGGAAATCAGCTTATGACATTAGTATGCCGTTTATTCTATTTAAATGTTAACTCCCTTGTAATGCTGATAACGCTTGTAACAAATTTTCTATTTTTTATTTTTGGAGTATGGAGAGCCATTGAAGGGTTTTAAGCAAGGGAGTGACCTGATCTGATTTTTTTTTTAAAAATTTAAATCTTTACTAAAGGTATAATTGACTTCCAATAAATTGTGCATATTTAAAGTGTATGTTTGATAAGTTTTGTCATGTGTTTACACCAATCAGTCACCACAGTCAAGATAATGAACATGTCCATCATTCCCATAAGCTTTCTAGTTCCCCTTTGTAATCTTTCCATCTTGTTTCCCACTCCCCCAGATAACCACCGATTTGCTTTCTGTCACTATTTTAGAACTTTACATTATATAAATGGAATCATACAGTATGTAATCTTTATTGCCTGACTTCTTTCACTGAGCATAATTTAAGATTCGGCCATATTGTTGTGTATATCAATAAGAATTCATTCCTTTTTATTGCTTAATAGTATTCTTTGTGTGGATATGCCACAATTTGTTTATCTGTTTACTGCTTGATGGACATTTTGGTTTTTCCTCTCATAGTGCTGGTACAATGTGTAACAACTTTAAAGTAGGTTTTTGTTTTTTTTTTTTTAAACTGGTGACTGAAAAAATATAACCTGATTTTGGTGTGAATATAATTTTTAGATACATTGGTTATTTTTTGTAATTCCCTGATATAGAATATCTAAAAAATTTTTTGTTTGAATTTTACCTTCCCATTAATATAGACAAATTGGATTTGTTCAGCAGATATATTTATTAAAAAATGAAATGTTGTTATTTGTTCTTTGATAAAGTCAGAACTTTATATGTTCATGATCCCCAAATAGGAGTAGATTGATTGCAAGTGTATATATGAGCACCTGCTGTATGCTAGGACTGTTCTAAGCCTTGGGCCTAAAGTAATGAATGAATTTACTATCAAGGCGGGTTCACTGCTGTCATGGAGCTTAATGCATTCTTGTAGGCAGGAAATAGAGAACAGATAAACAGGGAGAATATCAACTTGTGAATAAACGCCTTGTAAGAAATTAAAATAGAGTGCTGAGGTGTGTGACTGGAAGGCTACTTTTGATTGAGTGGTTGGAAGCTTCTCTGAGAGGTGACATTTTAGGCTGAGGCTGAATAGGAACAGGGGGGTAGTAGCCATGATAAGATCAGGAAGAAGACCATTCTTGACAGATGAAATAGCAAATGCAAAAATTTTAAGGTTGTTAAATTTTGGTATATTTTAGGAACAAAAAGGCCAGCGTGGTTGCAGTGTAGACAGTAAAACCAGGAGAGTGTTTGATATGAGGCCAGAGGGATAAGCAGAGGCCAGATTATTTATTTAAGGCTTTGTAAACTAGAGTAAGATTTTGGTTTTTGTTCTTACAGTGTGAGGAGAAACTATCCCTGGGATGTGCAATGAGGTGAGGGGAGGGTGGCATGCTCTGATTTGCCTTTTAGAAAGATCATTCTGACTTCTGTCTAGAGAATAGTTTGTGGGGTTACAAGGTGGAAGTGAGCTTTTGCAGTATGTTAACTGAGTGAGGATGCTGAGTTAAGCAAAGAATGGTTATAGTAGGAGATGATTCAAGAATTACATATATTTATGTCTGTGAGAGGTCTGTTTATCCTAGGTCTGTGGAGAGATGGGAGGAAAGCAGTTTTAATTCCATTTCTGCCTCTGAGTTTGCTCCCTTTCAACATGGTAATGGACTTACTATTAATTCATTAGTTCTTAAAGGCTGTTGCTGGATTGGTTATATAGGAGTCATCCAGAGAACTGTTAAAAATCAATTCCTGGTTCTTGTTTCCTAAGAGTATGATTTGGGTATGGGAACCTTGGAATGATTCATTCAGTAGATTTGCTGGGGTGGCATGTCAACTCAGTTCTGAGGCTCCAAAATGAATAAGACATGGTCCATGCTATTAGTGGGACAATTGTGTTTATTAGTTTTTCACTCAACAAATATTTTTGAGACCCTTCTATATACCAACAATTCAGGTGAGAAATGAGGTAAGGAAGAAATGTAAATGAGGACAGAGAAAAGGGACAGATGCTACAAGTGTTAAGAATTTAGAATCATTTGAAGGAAAGGGAAGACTTTAGAATGACTTTCAGATTTCTGACTGGGATTACTGGTTAGAAAGGGAAGATAAAAGGGAAGACAAGTTTTGAGGGAAAGATGAAGAAACTATGTTTGGATATAGTTGTGAAATATCATCCGTGTGGATTTTTTTTTTTTTTTTTCCCCAGTTGGACATACCGTCTGAAGCTCAGGGAATAGCCTCAGCCGGAGAGAAAGGTTTGAATCATCATGGTTGTTGATATCATGGAAATGGATGAGCTAGTTCTATAGAGTCTATAGGGTAGGAAGAGGAAGCAGGTTCAGGGACTGAACTCTGGCAGACTCCAATCTTAAAGGGTAGAAGTGGGTAGGGAGGTCATGTCAGCTGAGAAGAAATGTCAGCCGCAGGAGAACAGCCAACAGAGGTGGTGTTACATAAGTCAGTGTGATGAGTGAGAAGCAGTTCATTATTATTTTACGTTTGGAGTTTCCTAAGGTTCTGTTGTTTAATAAGAGTAGACTTGCGACCTTGAAGTGAAGATGAAACATTGAAGCCTAGAAATCCTAGGGAGGAGGAAGAAGAACCAGCAAGACAAACAAAGAATAGAAAGGACAGAGAAATATCAGGGATAGACTGTGCTGTAGAACAAAAGGAGGAAAGGGTTTTAAGAAGGATTAAGAGTACTCAAAGCCTGGAAATCAGTTTGGTATAGTACAGACATGTACTGTATGTTGTTATATATTATATGAAGATCTGGCTTCAGATTCAGATTCCAGTTTGGACACTCTCTAACAGGTTAATTAACCTCCAGGGGCAGCTGCTGTTTAGTTGTGTTTATGTAGGTTTATAGTACCAACTTAGAGGATTGAAGTGTAGGTGAAGTGTATATGAAAATGTCTAACATAAAGAAAGCTTGGTATGTTATAGGTACTCAATAAATACTAATTTTTACAATTAAATTTCTTTTTAAAAATTTTTCTGGCTGCATTGGGTCTTCATTGCTGCACACGGCCTTTGTCTAGTTGCAGCGAGCGGGAGCTACTCTTCGTTGCTGTGCGTGGACTTCTTATTGTGGTGGCTTCTCGTTGTGGAACATGGGCTCTAGGCACGCGGGCTTCAGTAGTTGTGGCATGTAGGCTCAGTAGTTGCGGCATGCAGGCTCAGTAGTTGCGGCATGCAGGCTCAGTAGTTGTGGCGCATGGGCTTAGTTGCTCCACGGCACGTGGGATCTTCCCGGACCAGGGCTCGAACCCATGTCCCCTGCATTGGCAGGCGGATTCTTAACCACTGCACCACCAGGGAAGTCCCCAAGGAAGACTTTTATTTGCATAATTAAACATTTAAAACAAAAAAGAAACATCCTTAAAGCTCAGATTGCACTTATCTTAAAATCAAAGCTATAAAAGATTATTTGAAATTTCAGTGGGTTGAAACCTCTTATTTAATTATTGTAACTTTGTGTGACATGCAGGAGGAAAATAATCTGTTAAGTCATAGATTTATCTAGATTTGAAATGTTGAAAACTCACATTTTGCAAATATACTAATCATCTTTATATCTTCATAACATACATGAAAATAGGGAGATGGGACGCTAGAACAATATAGAACTTTGCTAGCTGAAAATATAGATAAATATAGATAAATAAAATCTATTACAGAAGTTAATTTTAAATTGTAAAAATATATTAATTTCGGTGAGAGGAAAAGATGAGTGTTACAAATAAAGCTGTATTAATGCTCAGTGTTTTGTACAAGTGCATAGAACCTCAAGGCAATTAATTATTCTTTGATTCTTTTCTAAATGAGTTAGGAATGTAGTATTGTTTCTTTTATCCTTTTTAGGGGGTCAATATTAAATGGAGATAAATTTTTAAAAATTGACTATGTTGTTCATGTAGGATTTCATTTCTAAATTGAATGGTTGACTGAGAGTTTAAAAAGTAGCCTTGGGCTTCCCTGGTGGCGCAGTGGTTGAGAGTCCGCCTGCCGATGCAGGGGACACAGGTTCGTGCCCCGGTCTGGGAAGATCCCACATGCTGCGGAGCGGCTGGGCCCCATGAGCCATGGCCGCTGAGCCTGCGCGTCCGGAGCCTGTGCTTCGCAACGGGAGAGGCCACAACAGTGAGAGGCCCGCGTACCGCAAAAAAAAAAAAAAAAAAAAAAGTAGCCTTGAGGTTGAGTCTTCATCTGCCAATTTGAAGACATTTTTAAAAAAAGAAATTAAAGGAAATACTGTATTTCCTAAAATTGAAAGTATCTGTACTGTGGCCTAAACCTTCAGTACTGTAGTAGTAATCTATTCAAGTATTTGGTCAGTTACCAAATACTGACAGAAGCAGTTTTTGGTGAGAACAAACTCTGTTCCAAATCTTTAAATTTAGTTTTCCAAATGGGTGTTCTGGGTGGTTTAGTGACATCAAGGGTGCTATTTTGCATTTAATAACAATGGATATACCTTTAAAATTTTTTCATTATAAAAACTGTAAAGAAAAAGTAAACTGAAAATCTAACTGAGATACTAGTTTATACAAGACTTCCGCTAAAAGTAAGAAAAAGGTTTAAAACGGTAAGAATTTTGGGGCTTCCCTGGTGGCGCAGTGGTTGAGAGTCCGCCTGCCGATGCAGGGGACACAGGTTCGTGCCCCGGTCCGGGAAGATCCCACATGCCGCGGAGCGGCTGGGCCCCATGAGCCATGGCCGCTGAGCCTGCGCGTCCGGAGCCTGTGCTCCGCAATGGGAG